CGCCTATAGAGCTGAGTTTTAGTTTAATGGAAATGGTTTTTCCTACTTTTGTGTGTTTTGATTTTTCAAAATTTTTTGTTAATTTCTCTGTCAACCTCGTATATTTTTTCACTTCAGTACCGTTTTTGATTAATTGTTTGTTTTGGACCATTTTGTGCAACATTTTTGTTTCTATTTTGCATAATGTTGCTAATTTCGTCCAAATTTCTTGATTCTGAACGCAGGTAATATTGAGAGGTTTTCTTGTGGTAATGATACTTGACCGTATTTAATTGTACCCATTATTACTACATTATTACTGCGTTTGTTTGATAGTGAGTATATATACATAATTATAAAATTGTTAATCAAAAGTGCCATGTTCCAAGTCAATTTAAAATTGACGTAAGTAATTAAATGTAATTATACATAATGACCCACTCACATGATACTGTATCTAAATGACGGTTTTAACCCTTTCTTGTGATAATAAATTATAACAACTACCATGTTATTCAAAGTTATTTAAGTATGCAAAATGCTACTTAAACAATCTTTGTTTATATCATAATCAATCCTAGTTAACGAGGTAGCGGCCTATCGCTAATTGCAGTAATTCTAGCGAATTTCGTGGTGTCGATAACAAAAAGAAGATTAGCAGTCGAAACTCTTCGTTTCGCTTTCGAGTAAAAGTGCGGATCCTTGAAAACGAAGAAAGAGTTCGTTCACCCAAGCACGATGTAGCAACATCATTACGCACTCTCCTTATCCCATGATATAACTCGATTGTGATCGCAATTAGCATAATCAAAGGCAAAATGTGCCCAATACCAAGAACCCACACCTACTGAAACCCATTACCATTCAAGAAAGAAGAAAAAGAACCCGAAGCATATAATTTTCCGTACTGTTGAACGCCTAATTCATTTTTTTTTCTCTCCACCGCGTCTATAAACTCCTGTAGTAACACCCATCGAAAATTTAACACTGTAAACAACAACAACAACAATAATTCATGTCAGTGGAGCGTGAAGAAGAACCCAAAGTCGCCGTTGCTGCGATAAGAAAGGGAGTGTGCGGCACTGTCACTATAGTAGAGACACCAACCGAGTGGTGGTCTTCGGTCTTCAGGCTGAAACTCGACCGAGTATACAGTGGCGTCGTCATCTGAATTCTGTAACATTTTCGAAAGCTTCGTACTTTTTTTTCGTTGTTGACACTTCGGAAACGCCAACCGGATTTTTTTTGTGTTTTGTGGTTACACAGTGGGTTTCAAAATATGTTAGCACAATAGAACAGTAGAAGTAAAAAGGTGGAAAATTTCATACGGGGTACTGAAAAATTAATATTGGAAACTCCCATTGTTGGTAGGTAGTCAAATACTTCATCAAAGAAGGTCGTAATGGAGTTATAAAACCGACCTCAGGGGTGCATCTTTAGCCTTTGTACTGCAACCTAAAGATGGATGCACCCCTGCGGTCGGGTTTATATTAGCCCTGTTATGATCGTCTTTGTTGCGGTATTTGACTCCATAACAATAGGACCCTACCATATCCCATTAGAGCCTTGTGGAGGACTATAATATACAGTCAACTCGGTCCCTTCGATGTCCATTAAAATTACATATTCAAAAAGAAAACAAGCAACTGTGAAAAAAAATATATAAAATTTCTAATATCTTTACCACTCGTGTAATCAAAGCCCTCGTCCATGGATGCTGTGCCTCAAACGCTTCGCGCTAGAAAAGCTGACGAACCGTTGCGGATGGCACCGAAACACATCGATCTCGTTTGAACCATACGGTCAGATCCCGTTGCTCCGCCCCCACGGAAAGCGGATTTTTTTTCCTGTACGAGAAAAACAGTTAAATTTTCTATTATTCTCCCGCGTACTGACCTGATTTACAGTCGGATGCGGATGCGGCGTGAAAAGGGGCCCCGCTGATTTTCATCAGTCCGGAACTGAGACCGTCCAATCAGATCGGCAAATCTGATTTCGGTGATTTTTTGCAATTTTTCTAAAATCACCAAATCGAATCGGGCCTTCCGTCGCGCTGATTGGAACGAAATTGTAAAAAGCACGGTCAGGGACGGAACGAAAAAAAGAGACCGGGGCTGTTTTTGCCGGCTACATTAAAGATGAGACTGCTAAAATAAAGCATCTGGCGAAAGTGAGGCGCGGGAAAGTCGTGTTTATTTTGCGTGTTGTTTTGTAGTTTTTGTGTTGAATTATAAAATATTTCTTTTGCTTTTCGTGGGAGTGATGAGGGTTTGGTCGGGAAGTCCACGTGTGATTTCTTTTTTTTTGTGGGATATATTGAGAATATCGCGTTATAAAATTTTCTAAACTCGCACCGTATGAAATATTTTGTTTATTTTCGATAGAAATGATACGCTGATTTATGGGAAGGGAACATGTGTATCAACAATTTTTAGTTTTTTTTGGAAGTCGCAACAGTTTTCAGTTATCACGAAATTCAGCAATAAATAGAAAATATCAGTCATCAGTTTTATTTTTTAGATGAGTTGACATTAAATCTATAACTAGTACAGCGACGACTGCAATATGAAGGCAAACAACTTTATTAAATGAAAAAATACAATGCATGCGCATCGTTGGAATTTTGAAACAATTAGTATTATTTTAATTGTGTTTGCCATAACAACTGCGCATCCTTTGGGAGTTTTATCTCATTGTAAAATTAAACTTATGAATATTATCAGCGTTTAAATTAGTTTTATGTTGTTTTTACTCATATTTGCATTTATTTATCTAACCGATCCTTTTTATTGACAAACACGTTAAAAGACTGCATTTTCTGCATTGCTCAAAACATTTCGTGTAGCGAACTTTTTGCAGTTTATTGTTCAATTTGTTTATTTGTGTGATTTTGGGTGTCGCCAAACTGAAGTCTTTTCCATATTTTCAGTTTTTCGTTTAAGGTATCTAACTGTTCTCCCGCCTAGAGCGTGTGTGTATTTATTATTCAGCCCGCTTGTTTGCATACAGTAATTTCGTTTCGTATTTAAATAAATTGTTTTTATGGAGATCATAATTAATAAACTTCGCACATTTGAGGCACATGGCGTCAAGTTGTTTCCACCTCGGCTTGTGCTTACACTGTAAATATGAAATTCTTATCGCCACCACATGTTGGTTGCCGCAACCCCTGCGATTGATTAAAAAATAATAGCCTTCGTCGACTAAAACAAATTCAACAAAATAATTAGTGGCTTGAATGCCAGAAATAAGTTGTTCGTTCGTCGTGTATGACTAATTTTAACTTTTATGTCTTCGTACGTTTAACTAATCGTTCGTGTTTACTTAGTATGTATATTTTTAGACATTTTGACGATCGCCTCGCTATCGCTCATTTCTCAGATAGCGGGTAGATATGTCAGAATTGCGGGTAATAGAATTTTCCCAAGGCTAATATATTGCCTTTTAAATTTAACCGCATGTCAAATGAAGACTATTTATATTATTTATATCGCATTTAAATTTTTAAATGGCGCCATTTCTGCTAATCCTTTCACCTGAGGCATAATTAAAACGAAATGATAAAGACATCCGTCTTGTTATAGCGTCTATCCTTTGGCCAAATGGATTGTGCCGGATGGCGTCTTTGTCGAACTAATATTTTTTTCCTACATATTGCCACGCTTGTGTGCCTCCATTTCCTGCAACTAACATTTCTGCGTCTTGACAGTCCTTATCTCATATCCTGTTTTGTTGTAGAAATTTGTCGCGTTTCTCTTTAACACACTTCCTAGTTTTAGCACGCCTTTGGTTGGAAGATGAATGAAGAGCTTCGTCATCATCCTTATTATTATTTTTATTTGGTTTGGTTACTTTGTATTTGTCAGTTTATGAAAGTCATCTGATATGAAAGCAAGTGTCAGCGGATGATTAAACAGTCTTGTCGGCTGAGTACAGGTTTGTGTTCTCTTTTTACAAAACGATACAAGGTTGCGTCGTGGATATTACAATTTTGATACAATGTTGGATGGTATTGTATGATAATAATTAAAGCTTGACAGGCGCGCACCGAAAAGTTTTTTTTAACACAGTGTGTGTGCAACGTTGCAACAGCTGTATATGCACAAAGTCGATCACTTGGCAGTGTCAGTGTAGTTACTTTTAGCGGACCACTGGGTTTCTTCAATAAAATTTGACGTACAAATAATTGACTATCTATCTATTGGGAATTTGAGTGAATTTCTAAGTGGTCATAAATTTAAAAAAAGGTATGTTCCCACTGATTTTCGTAGCGGTATTGGTCTATTACAGAAAAAATTGAAAATTTATTTAGTCATCCCTTCCGACAAGTTGATGACATCATCTCAAAAATTATTAGGTATATGTATTTAATGCGCTTTTATGGACTATGGTGGCGTTTCAGGTACCAGGAAAAGGAAACTTTGGCGTAGATAATTTGATAATTTTTTGAACTGCAATTTACAATTTGGCTATAATTTTGTAGCCTTGTATTGCAAAAACGGTACAGTGTGGGCTCCGAGTGATTCATTCTCGGTTTGAAATTTGGGTAACCATGAATTTTGATTTGGTCGGAATCACGGTATTTTTAATCGCTTGCCATCTTGACCGTGAAGCAGTTGATTTTGTTCTGTTGGTAACAAGTTCTGCGATACTCCTTATACATAATACAGTAACTATTAACGTTAAACATGTAGCAACCGCGAATACACAAAGCGTGAGTCAACTATGCAAATATTTTCACTTTTTATCATCTAATTATATACTCGAACAAGACAAAATTATTCACTTTTATTTATAGTCAATTATAACCGATCAAATGCAAATGGTTAGCATTATTAAATAAATCGTCGAACGAACGTTTCACCGACGCTAAAGCTATTAATTACTTATAAACGGCGAGCGATTGAAAAAACCCTTCAATTGATTCATAATTACCGTCATTACGGTACCATAACAGCTTCAACGCAACAATTTTCTAATAGAATTCGCCGTCATTTAATAAGTTTTTTCCAACCTTTCAGAATCTCGTGTTACAAGAAGGAAAATCTCCCGTCGTTTTTTCGCAAGTGTGGATAAAAGACCAGCAGAAGCAGGCCTGGGGTAAGGCCTTCTTATTACTCAGAGAGAAGAAACTTTATCTGTCTTACAAGATCCAAGTTCTGGCCAAGTTTCTGCGAGCCGCCAAAATCAGGGAAGCTTCGGTAAGTTTTCAATAACAATGACTCGTCGCTGTTTGCTCAAGACTTTTCATAAGCCCGAAAATATAATTCAGTCGCATGATTTTTAACGATGCTTAAACGACGTGGCGCGACGATATCATGGCGGTGATAATTTAACGCTCGGTGGTTTCGACGATAACCGAAAGAACAAATTGCCATTGTTGACAATCGAAAAGTTTTATATTTTTATTTAATTCGTCCGATCGAAAACACTTCGTGTTAATTGTTTCTTCAATTTGTATTGTTCATATCAAAGTAGAGTAGTCCACCTGTTTCTAAGTGCTTTGGTCGTGTCTTAGATCGTCGGACATGGCCAACGCAATGAGTAATACAGTTTTGCTGCATTATCGTGCCGTCAAAAACCTATAATTCTTTTCTCTTGTAATGATTTTTTTCGCTCGTATAGTCGTTTCGTGTCGTAATTTCGTTCAAGGCTTTTACGGTTCAATTATTCCTTCATTTGTTATAATCACTTATGTGGTTTCTGGGTACCAAGTACTTGGAGCAGAGTTTTTAAATGAAATGGTAATAACGATTGTATCGTGAGGAGGAGTCACGCTCCACTGGTTTGTGAGATAATTTAATTTAACACTTTAATAATTTTCGTTAGCAACAGCAAAAAAAAAAATGCGGAGGAACTTGCCTTTGACCTGATGAAAAACTGTTGTGATGAGTTAATCGGAGTGGATAACTCGTTGAAAATGTTGCTTTTTTACTTTCCTAGCATAATGCGGCAAACTGCCCCGTTTAAAATACAAATATCCGCATTTTTTGATTTACTAATACGTTTGTGGTCTGTCTCTGTCTCGCGTCGCGCTAACTGGCCACATGCATTAGATATGTAGATACAATATATAATAGTAATAAAGGGATAGAAGAATAAATAAATAAATAATTTGATATAATACGACAATACGGATTTTTAAATGACTCTAAACAAAGTTTTTAGCAACGTAAGAAAGCTACATTGTAAAGTCAAGGTTACTTTCATGATTTTTACCTCATGTTCGTACTCACTGTATCCATGCGCGAAAATCACATATTTGGTTTTTACATGAAGAGAATTAATTTCGGCAATGAATGAAACGATGAAGCAATTGTTTTCAGCTGTGTAAACATAATAAATATTTGTTGTTTGTTGATAAATTATTTTTTTCATTGAGTTTAAGCTTTAACCGGGCTTAGTGATATTAACACCACTGACATTGAAGTAAATACTTACGGCTGATTTAGACAATTTCGTGAAATTTAACACGTTATAGGTCTTGATTAACATATGACTGAATATTGTTAAGATCTGGATGAACAGTCAAGGTTCAGACTCAGCCTAACTAGAGTTATTGCTGCGACCTATCACGATCTGATCAAAAAATTACCAATAGTTCCAGAGGGTTGAATTAAAAATTCGCTGATTTTGTGTTTAAATTATCGCAGGAAGTTATCGCAGTATTTATTTATATTATCGTTTAATAAAAAATATCTTTGTAAATAATGTTTGCATTAGTGTAAAAACCACGTAAGATACATTATCTAAGGCCAATTGGCCTAAGCCGATAGTGCTGTGGAAAAGTTCGCATCATTTTTCAAGGCAAATAATGCCGTCTTTTTCCATGATTTTGATTTAAATCATGCAACAGTAAAAAATTATATTTATGAGTAAAGCTTGACAATTTTGCACAGAAAGTGTTTTAAGTGTAATGTTAATTTATTAGAGTAAAAACAAGCATTGTCGTTTTTAAAATCAGTTTTTGTTCAACAAGTTTGATTTTGAGTCCTCAGTTGCCCCAATTCACCTTAGTTAATTAATGCAAGCAAGCAAGTGCATCGTTGCAATGACATCCGAACAAAAGAATATAATTATGAAAATTGCCCAGTATCAGCTAACGACATCGTAACATGCAATACGGTAGTTAGGAAAGTTTTAAAACACTCGTTTGTATGTTTGTTATACTGTGTGTAACAAGGTCCAAAGTCGCTTTTCTTTCTTTGAAGTTTTACGGCTTTCAAATGAATTTTCAAAGTATCCACTTCTTTAGAAGCCTTACGTTAAGGTTCTTTAACAAAGACTAATAAGCTGCCTACAACCGCCGAAGATTAAAAAAGCGCACACCCACGATCTTGTTTACCCCAAGTTACCTTATCCAATCGATGTGGCTATAAATATAAATAGTACCGTTGTACATACAGAGAAAATGTCTCGGTCTTCAAAACCTAAATAATGACCGCTTGACATGCGAAGTATTACTCTAATTCTTTTAAGGAAGTATATGAGAACGAGGCCGTGTTAACAACACCTTTGCGTAAACGCCTAGCACTCTGATTTAACGACATGACTTGTCTCATCTGATTGTGGTTCGAAGTTCTAGGCAAAGTAGTAATTGTAATTATAGTTATTACATTACAGACGTTGTAGAAAGTAGCTAATTGTAATTAACGAGATGTTTAATTTAAACTTGCATTAATAAGAGTTGTTAATGTGCTAATGGAAATATTAGAAAGCATACACCGACAACGCACAACACTCGACAAAACCGACAAAGGTTTCGGTTTAAGTTGAATGCGCAAAAAATTTGTTAAATAATAAATTATCCGGATGTCTCTGCAAAAAGGAGCCCGGAATATGGATTCGCTCTTTAATTAATTTACTCTTTGTCCGGATTTTCCCAACGAAAAGTGTGGTCGGTATAATCTAGATCAACATCGTAATTTGTATGTTTTTTCTCTAGTTAAAATGTACATTTTAGGTGTTATTCCCTCATACAAAGTTTTAATTGAAACGAAACGGATCCCGTTTTGTTAGCAAATTCCGCAGTTCCAGTACAACCATCCCCAAAAGTACGCCCTTTATCAAATTTCTTTTTGTTCTTGGTGTAGCCGAGTAGATCGAAGTAATCGCCCCAGTGGAACTCCGCCACCGAATTACCGTAGTTAAAAAACCTTTTGTATAGCACAAACCTACCGTTTTACAGAACAAGGTCTTGCCTATTACATAATGGTTTTAAGGTGAACTTGTGAATTTTTTGTTCGGAAGTTAACAAATCTGAATCTACTTTAAAAATGAATCATACCATTTACCGTTCCCACTTCTCACCGCAAACGAATTGTGATGGTTCGGTTACGTAACGCTGTTACGTAACCCCGAAAAGTATACCATGGGATCGAAGAAAACCCACAAAATATGCGACTGCACCCAAAATCCGACTTGATAAATCGTCCTGGCGTTAAGTCGGATTATCTCGCGTCTAATCGAACAAATGGACTCCAACTGCATTCAACTAGTTTATTAACCCCGGAGGCATCTAGGTGGCGGTGGATCGATGAAACAAATGCAAAGATAAAGCCGTGCATGACAAGTTTCGACGAACGTCGCTGTCCTGATGAACAAGGAATGTGACGAAACCGGTCGATGGCGATCGAGGATTTTTCGAGGTCCATTGGATGTGAACGCACTCGATAATTGTCATCCGCGGAAAGACACGTATTATTAGAACTTCCGGCTTGTTGACCTTTCCTCTTTTTTTTCCGCAACTTCGGTTGCGTAAGTTTTTTTGCGTCCCGAGTTCGAAATTTGCTCATGTGAGTAATTATCGGTTTAGTCGCTACAATTAATTTTAATTAAATTGCATGGTGCCGAGCGCGATTCGCGTATAATACATTCATCGTGAATTATTTCGAGTTAATAGGCTTATAAATATTCACTTTGTAAATTTCACTTTCAATCTGGTCTCAGCACAATTTCTCCCTAATTCTCTCTCCAAGAACAGCGCTAGCGCTATTCATAATATACAGGTTATGTTCCTCGTTCGCAGCGCTCCTTTGATCGTGTTAATGTATAAACAAGAACGATTTTTTTAATATAACGCCTGTTCAACGTACGTTACATGATCGTTTATTATTAACAAACACAAACATCACACCCTTATTGCTAATAACATAAACAAAAGCTGAATGGCTGCCGGTGATCGATAGCGCGTGCCAGCGGCGGGACGTGTGTCGGGAGAAGGGAAACCCTCTGACATAGCTAATTAAAAAAACAAAGCCAGGCAAGTGGAAAGTGTAAAATAGAAACGGGAAAATCGGCTTCTCTTTGGGTTTTTTTTTCAGTTTGTGTAAACAAGTAGCACTCGCCCTAAATATAGATTTTCAAAACGGCATCGTACATTTCTGAAGAAGATATAGCGGGGGATCAAGAAGTTTTTAGGTTAGGGTAGAGTGTGTAAAAATTTTTCGCTTCTTTGAACTTTACAAATGTCAATGTCGATTGCATTTTTCGCCCTAGGCTTCTTCAATAAAATTGTTATTATTATTATTATTATTATTGTGGTACATGTATGTCATTCGAACCCATAACACGTGTGTGCCGGAATCCATGGAAACCACCGAGAGTAGTTGATACTTTTGTAAGGTCCACACCCAAGATTGTCAAAAATCGGGGAAGTTATGATTGCTGTTATTAACCTCAAATGCAGCACAAAATTATCGACGCGAAACAGTGGAATTTTACCATTGTGTACATATAAAAAATCGTGCTTGTCCTCACGCTAGCGTGTCCCCCAATTGTCATATTTATTTTTACCTACGGCGTTTATACTAATTTATTCACACCTGTATGAGGATGACGTGATATCAGTTTCGTACGTTCTCTGATAATATTTAACTAATTCGTATGTACAGAGTCACCTCGGCATGTAAAAACAATGGTTTAAAAGATTTTCATTTCATTGCGTGTAAATACTGCAGTAAGGTCTTGAGGAATTTAAAAAGCTTGCAGCCGTTGTGTTTAAATTGGTTTATTGTCGGTTGTATAATTTGCTTTCTGCTGTAATACCCGCTTTAGAAATCAGATAATTAGAGCTTGTTTGTTCTGTAAATACAGCGCTTAACTTTTATATCCACCAATAAAGCTAGAGATTTTTAATTTAAAAAGACGACAAACCAGGTAATAAAAGAAATACGTGGTCTTATTAAATGTACGGTGTGTC